TAGAATTTTTTTTTTTAGAGGACCCTTCTGAAAACCACCTCTAGGTGACTGGAGGCCTCGTCTTAAAATATTAGTTTATTATTATTTATTATTATTACGTAAGAATCGACCTTTGCCTTTTGCACTAAATTTGACGTTCATACGTTTTGCGATATTCTGACACACTAAAGAAACCTTTGTTCTGTCTAGATTGCTTGAAATAAGCAATTTGGTAGCATAGACTCATCAGGTTCTTCTTTGAAGAGGGATATTAGAGGATTTAGTCTCAGGTTTCTTTTTGTGATGTCAAACACTGAAGATTATCCTCAAACAAGTAGATTGAAATTAGTAGAATAATTGCTTTGAAAAATTGTACGTAAGTGTACGTGTGGTTTATAATTATGTAAAATAGTTGGAAATTTTACCCTTACGTCTAACAGTATCGCCAGACTAAAGGCCACGCAGTTTTACGTTCATGTAACACTTCTTTAGTAGTCCCTGTTGTCAACTTTCGAAATATTATAATTTTGGTTAAAAATCAATTTCTCTCGGGTCTGTCAAGTATTTGTTTTTGTAGTAAAAGGCCTGCTATAAGCCTTCTTCGTCCTCAGTGAACCTTGCCGTATACATGTTTTGTAGGCGTTCAATTCAAAGTTCTGTTACTCCATCTCCGATCCGGTGGAATTTGTACCGGTGTATATACTTAGGAGAGGAGAAGCACTCTGATAGCAAAGTATCTAGATTCTAGACAAAGAATAGACCACAAGAAAATTGACCAGGAAAGAAATGCAAATCACTAAATTTAAAATCAGATGAGAACAGTACTATGAGTAGGCTAGCCTAATCATAAAGGACCCATGAAGTTAATTCCGTGGCTATCTCTGTTACTCCGAGAATCTGTGTAAGGTCAGGTATATCTTCTGGGTGATCAGTTTCTCAGTTGATTTCTGGGTTACATTACTGCTCATTAGGCCAAATTAAATTCTGATCAACTATACAGTTTTGAGTATTGAGACTGTTTCGCAATAATCAATTCGATTCATCCTCTATAATCAGAAAGATCCATTCATTTAATGTTTGATGAAAACTATTAGGTTCAAGACAACGGTTATTTTTACCGTAGTTTACAAAAAATAGATAAAAAATAGACAAATAAAAAACACACACAGTTGCTGGTCACT